CTATGAGAAGCTTATCACACTGCCCAACTCTTCAGCCATGGGGAGCTTACAGGCTGCAGAGAGGTCTCAGCCATGGGAACTGCGCTGCTCTTGCTGGGGCCTGTGAATTAGGAAAAGCGCCCCAGCTTGGCCTCTGTGCCCTGGAAGTTGAGCTATTCTCTGCTGCAATCATCCTTTCACAGGAGAAAGAGAAGATTCAATGAGAACCATCTTGTGTGGAAGGCACGCTGTCCTTCAAACAAGAAATGAGGCTGGGAAGGTGTCTTAGTCGTAGAGTGCTTGCGTAGCATGCATGAAGCCCTGGATTCAATTCCTCAGCACCACATAAACAGAAAAGGCTGGAAGTGGCACTGTGGCTCAAGTGGTAGAGTGCTAGCCTTGAGCAAAAGCAGCTCAGGGACAGTGCCTAGGCCCTGAGTTCAAGCTCCAGGACCGGGAAAAACAAAACAAGAAATGTCTCTTCCTTACTCTTAAAGCAAGCAGCCAAGATTACCTCGTTCTTGTTCTGCCCAGTAATAAAGTGATGACTGCTTCAGCATTCCTCCAGGGTCAAACAGTGATCCGGGGCTGTTTTAACTCTGCAACCTGTCTCATCCCCCTTCCCTCCCACCCCCTTTCCCAGTTCTCCCTATGTAGCCTGAAGCCAGTGTCTGCTCTCCTGACCATGGCTGGAAATGAACTCAAGTGCTGTCTTCCCATGGCCACTATGGAATCCATCTCCTTTCTTTGCCCTTCACCATGTCTCTTTATTTGGCATATGGGGCAGAGTGGCCGGACCTAATGTGGGCCTCCTGAACTTCGGGCCTGGGTGTAAACACCTAGGTTCAGTAACTCTCATTATACTCTACATGCAACTTAGGTGTGCTCACATTTAAGTGCGTACTGTATCGTACACAATTGGGTCAGCCATGGATTCGTTGAGTCACAGCCAAATTCATCTCCCCAAGTGACTATCCTGAGTGAAAACCCCACGCACAGTGCTCACACCTTCATAAAGGCTTCACTTTTCCCAAATGTGAACTTTATCATGATGACAATGGTAATTAGTAGGATGGGTGACAAAATAAGAATTTAAATTTGAAAACCTTTCACAAGTTCACTTAAAATGAACTAGTAATATAAAACGCCAAGGTGCCTGTGGTTCACACCTGTAATCCTAGATACTCAGGAGGCTGAGATCTGAGGACTGTAGTTCAAAACCAGCCCTGGCAAGGAAGTCCAGGAGACTATTTCCACTTAACCAGGAAAAAGCCAGAAGCCAAGCTGTGGCTCAAGTGGTAGAGCACCAGATTTAAGAGGAAAAGTAAGGGACAGTGCTCAGGCCCTGAATCAAGACCCACGAAAGGAACACCTCCCCCTCCTTCCCTCTCTCCCTCCCTTCCTCCCTCTCTCTCTCTTACACACACACACACACACACACACACACACACACACACACACACACACACACACACACACACACACTCAAAATCTCCCAGATAACGTTTTGAGACCACATGAGGAGAAGCCTGCCACCTACAGGTCAAAGGAAAGAAGACATCTCTGGCTTTTTCAGGGCAAGGCTGTTTGATGAGGCAGTTTTTACAAATTCTTTTGGAGAATTAGCTGTCAATCCAATACAGGAAGACTTCTGTAACAGATACTTCCTCCTGTTCTCAACACATTTAGCACAAGTTTCCAGTATGTTCTTTTCTTCATTAGTATGTGGCCCTATTGTGGCCAAATGGGTCACAATGCTGAAGAGAATGAACTAGAACTTAGACATAGGAATGTTTCCTAGCAACCACCACCATGGTCTCTGCTGTTTGGTATTCTGGTGTCTCCTGGTTTCTGCTGGCAATGTCTCCTCACTGCTGGAATCATCGGAGTGAGTAATGAGAATCTCATGATGTAGGAACACTGGACACCATTTGGGAAAAGTTTAGTGTTACCTCATAGGGTCTAATAAAATAAATTCCAGATGGGTTACATATTAAATATAAAAGATACGCAGATCATAGAAAATGTAGTTATCTGTATAGATGATTGTGTCAAAGTCCTACACTGTGAAGATTTTTTAAAACACTACAGGAATAGAGACATTTTACAAGTATTTAAAAACAAAGAATAAACTTTTCTTTTTTTGTTTTGCTTTTGTTTTTGGTTGTTTTTTTGTTTTTTTTGGGTCCAGTCATGAACTCTGGGCCTGGGCACTGTCCTTCAGCTCTTCAGCTCAAGGCTAGCGCTCTACCACTTGAGCCACAGAGCCACTTCTGGCTTTTTTCTTTTTGCTTATGTGGTGCTGAGGAATCGAACCCAGGGCCTCATGCATGCAAGGCAAGCGCTCTACCACTGAGCCACCTTCCCAGCCCAGAATAAAATTTTCTTCCACACCAACAACATTTTAAATTGAGATGTCATTTTCACCCAAATTGGTCAAAATTTAAATAATAGTGTCTTGTGCTAAAAACAGTTGGAGAAATAAAGCTCTTTTTTTTGAGGGGGGTAGATTATTGGTAAGACTGTGTTAGAAAGGCTTTAAATTGTCCCTCTTCCTGTTTATTCTGAGTCCATTTCTAAGAATGTATCCAAAATTATGAATGATAGGGAAAACTCAGTTACAAAGGTACTTGTAATAGACTTATTTATGTCTTCCAGGATGAAAGTGACCTAACCATCTGCTCTGAACTCAGGGCCTGCGTGCTGTCCTTTAGCTTTTCTCCTCAAAACTGATGCTCTACTGCTTGAGCCTGAGCTCCACTTCTAGGTTTTTGCTGGTTAATTGGAGGTGAAAGTCTCACAAACTTCCCTGCCTGAGCTGGCTTCAAACCAGCTCCCCTCAGATCTGTCTCCTGAGTAGCCAGGATTATAGGTGAGTCACCAGTGCCTGGCACCCTGAGCTAATTAATATATTTATTGACAGAAGTTGAGTGTTTTTGGTTATCCTTTTAGATTGTAAAAACAAAACGTATTTATACGTACATGTATACACAGAGGAACCTTAGAAAACCATATCCCAAACACTAAATAATGGTTACATCATTAATGTGTACGGAAAATAAAAAGAGACCAAGAGATTCCTCTAGAGATGTCTTGAAGTCTAATTAAAGAATGGATGTGTTTAATAGGCACTGGTGGCTCACGCCTGTAATCCTAGCTACTCAGGACATCTGACATCTGAGGACTGCAGTTCAAAGCCAGACTAGGCAGAAAAGTCTTTGAGACTCTTAGTCTCCTAGTAACCAGTAAAAAGCCAAAAGTGGGGTCGTGGCTCAAATGGTAGGGCATCAGCCTTGAGGGAAAACCTAAGGGAAGTGCCCAGGCCAAGTTCAAGCACGCACACACACACACACACACACACACACAAAATCCCAGGATGGAAGTGTGAATAGGTAAAAAGAAAAAAAACACAACAGTCTATAGTTAAGGAAAAACAACACAAAACAAAAGACTAGGGCCTAAATAAAAGGGCCAAGAAGAAATGGAGGTGCCCGAACAGGCAATTATATTAGTCAAGTATGAAGTCAGATAAGCCACCAATAGCGTGGGTGATCTGGCAACTTGCTGTCTGTGAAAGGATGTGGCTATCCCAGGAGTCAATCTAAGACAGCTAGTATATTTTCTACCCTAGCTGGGTGTGGTGTGTATGCCTGTAATCCCAGTACTAGGGAGGCCAAGGCAGGAGGATGACGAATTTGAGGCCAGCCTTGGCTCTATTCAGTGAGTTCCTGGCCAGCGAGGCTATACAATAAGAATCCTGTCTCAAATATATATGCACACATACATTGAGTCAGCTTGTTTTCAGTATATATTCTATATCTCCATATATTTTAGATATATCTATATTTTTGTATTTATATTTACTAATAAAGATGAGAAAAGTCATCTTTTGAGTCATTTTAAATGGAAAGTGTTTGTTGGACCCAGTGTCATGCCTGTAATCCTAGCTACTCAGGAGGCTGAGATATGAGGATCACAGTTCAAAGCCAGCCAAGTCTGGGAGACACTTATCTCCAATAAACCACCAGAAAACCAGAAATGGCATTGTGGCTCAAGTGGTAAGAGTGCTAAACTTGAGCTAGACTGAAGGAGGGCGCCCAGGCCCAGACCAGCAAAAAAAAAAAAAAAAGAGCTATACTTCTCACCTGTTCCATAGTTTTAGCAGAATCCTTGAATGCAAAATTCCTTCACTGAGTTCCAGTAATGAAACTTGTCTCTTGTGGTGTTTTCTGTGGACTGTGTCTGCCCTCACAGCGGGGGTGGGGGAGGGTGGGGGTGGGAGGGGACCCTTGCACACGAGGCTTCATTCACTTATTTAGACCAGGTGTGGATGTTATTCACCAGATGCCTGGACTACCATTAATAATTATAAATATCCAATGGCCCTTGGCAGAAAAAAGGCTTCCCATCCCTCCTCCTAGTTACAGTTTAATCCAAATGTTTCTTGCCCAGTTCTCGAGTTGTATAAATTCTCATTTCATAACTAGTGACTGCATGTGATTTCTGCCACCCTGTGTGCTGTTCAAAAATTTCAATTAAAATGATTTTGTGTATGTGTGTGTGTCCTGGTCCTGGGGCTTGAACTCAGAGCCTGGGCATTATCGACCACTTTGAGCCACAGCTCCACTTCCATTCTTGGTGGCTCATTGGAGGGAAGAGTCTCCCAGACGTTCCTGCCTAGCTGGCTTAAATCATGATCCTCCAGTCTCAGCATCCTGAGCAGCTAGGGTTACAGGCAGAGCCGCTGGCACCTGGCTGCTGCTGCTTATTTTAAAAGCAGGAACTATCTTGAGATTTGTGCTGTTCTAGGAGATAAGTTATATTTAACTCCCATACCTGGCCCACTGTGTTGCTTCTGTGGGTCTTCGGACACAAGGGGAATAGATGAAACTAAAGCAGAGCCCACCATACAGCCTCTGTTATGAATAATCCAGGTCCTGCCATGCAAATGCCCTGAGGCAGACTGATTATTTTCTTCTAGCACTGCACGTATTATGACCAGACTGTTAAGTTCATTACTAGCATGATACATGAAAATGCATTTACTTCCCAAAGACTTAGCGGGGAGTACTACAGAAATGAAACACCGTCTGCGTGCTGTGCACGCATCTGAGTGTGTCCGTGTCCAGTGATGATTTCGCTGTCGGTCTGCAGGACTAGGAGAACCAGATCCAGCGCGCGGCGCCAGGCCTCCACCTTGGGAGTGACCGCATCATAGACCCTGGAGCCCGGCTCCCGTTCGTCTGGGAGCCGGGGGCTGAACATCCACCCGCAGCCTTGACTGTGTTCACGCAGGACGCTCTCTACGGGAGAGCCAGAGGCTGGCGCGTGCTGCACATGCCGCTGGATGACTGTGTTGGCCTCCATGGCGGAGGAGCCTGCGGCGTTGCGCAGGAGGGCTGAAAGGTACTGGAGCCAGCCAGCCGCCAGGCCCCGGAGCACGGCCGGCCTGTGCGCCTGCAGGGAGGCGCTCGTGCGAGCGGAGGGCTCCGGCGGCCGGGCTCCGCGCTCCCCGAGCTCCCCATCGGCCAGCGCGAGCAGGCGGCGGACACACAGCAGCTCCACAGCGCCCGCGCCCGGGAAGACCTTGCCCTCGGCCAGCGCGCCCTGCACGCGGCGCGCGCAGCTCCAGAACGCGTCCTCCTTGGCCTGCACCCGTCCGGGAACCGGGCCCGTGAGCACGGCGGTCACCAACGCCGCGCCCTCGGCCGTCAGCGCCACGGCTGCCCGGTCCCTGCCGAGCACAGCGCCCGAGGGGCCTGGCCACAGGGCCACCGAGACCCCGGCGCCCACGCAGGCCTCGTGCAGCTGGGAGACGTAGAGCACGGGCACGGCGCCAGAGGCCTCGGCCACGGCCTGCAGGGCGCTGTCGCGCACGCAGCCCAGCGCCAGCCGCCCGCTCTGTCGGCACCGTGCGGCCAGCGCGCCCGCCACTTCGCCCCGGGCCAGAACCAGGTCCACGCGCAGCTGCGCCAGCGCCTGCGCAGTGCCGTCAGCCCACGCCGCCTCTGAGCCGTCCTCCTGGCAGCCCACGCCTCCCAGGGTCTGCATCCGGCCCGGCGCGTGAAACCCGGGATGGCGGTACGTGTGCGTGACATCCCCGTCCATCACAACCACACGGGCCGGCCGACGCGCCAGGGCCTGGATCGCCGCGACGCTGGATGCCGGCACGAGCGTGACGAAGCCTGGGCAGACGCTGGAGCATGCGTCGGGCAGGCCGGGCACACAGCAGGTGAAGAGTCTGGAGATGTCCAAGGCAAATGGCAGCCCGCGTGCGTCCTGCAGCTGCAGACGCATGGCAGCTTCCACGAGCACCATGCAGCCGTCACTGCCGTGACTCAAGCCGGCCGCCAGCTCCGCCAGATCTGTGCACGCCCGCGCCCCAGGAGGGTCTGCGCCCCGGCCCTGTGATGCACCCGGCTCGCTCGAGCCCGCGCTGCTACCCATCCGACCAAGGTGCCGGCTGCGGCTCAGCACCGACCTTCTGCAGCAGGGCCGCGTGCTTTCAACTGCTCCAACCTTAGCCTGGGCAATGCAGGGCTCCGGTGGTGTCGCACGTCCTTTGGGGAGACCAGAAGTGGTGAACGAGGGAGGGGTGGCTCCATCTTTGAGATGGCCATCTTCCTGTCTCAGGGCCGACCCTGGAGGTGGAACAGCACGTGGGCTCACTCTGGCTGCGTCAAGTCCAGACAGGGCCCGTGGGCTGTCCAGATGGTCAAACACAAGGTGGACGGGCACTTGAAGGAAAGCCACCTCTTCAGTGCACAAGTTCAAGCCTTCTGACATCACGGACACGATGATGGGAATGGGAATACCCAGGTGGAGAAACTCTTCCGCGGCCCGGCTCCAGGCGCCTGCAAGAAACAACAGGGTGGTGGTTCCAGTTCCGTGGGTGCCATGTTGGGCGAAGATGGCCTCGTTCAGGAGCTGGCCCACAGCATTGCTCACATCCAGGTTCTCCAGCAGCCGCAGAGTAGAGCTGACCAGCACGCTCTCCTGACATTCAGCGTCTGTGATAAATTTGGATGCTTTTAGGGGGCCTAGGAAAGTTCTTCCTGTTTCTGCAAATGATGACAGCTGTTGAAGTCCTTTGTGCCTTCTGTTGACACCCCAGCAGGCCACTGCCATCAACAGGTACCTGCAAATGAAGCAGTCCTTCCTTAGAATCTCACTTGGCAGGCCTTGTGGCTGCAAATGCTATTTGGATGGAGAATAAAGTGACAGCCCCTGCTTTTGTGGGGTATCTGGCTTCCACTGAATATGGCCCGTGCAGTGATGCAGCACGCTAGTGAGAAGGGTGGGTGTGTGGACCATGGACACAATGGAGGACATGGAGCACACACTCAACAGGCTGTGATTCCAGAAGAAGGCAATCCTTAGAATGAGTCTTGAAGAGCCAGGCACTAGTGGCTCATGCCTAGCTACTCAAGAGGCTGAGATCTGAGGATTGAGGTTCAAGGCCCACTCAGGAAGCTCTGTAAGACTCTTATCTCCAATTAGCCACCTCAAAACTAGAAGTAGAGTTGTGGTTCAACTGGTAGAATTCTAGCTTTGAGCAAAAAGAGCTCAGGGGCAGCACCCAGGCCCTGAGCTCAAGCCCTATAACCACCACCACCAAGTGTCTTGAAGGACAACTTTAAAGTCTGAAATTGGAGCAGATAGTGGTAAGTGCACACAGATGTGAAAACACATGGGAATATAAAGTATGTCATATGAGCTGGAGCTCGGTGCTGCTGGCTCACACTTGTAATCCCAAATATTCAGGAGGCATCAAATCCAGCTCAGCAGAATGATGAGAGATTCTGACCTCCAATGAGCCAGCACAAAGCCAGAGGCGGAGGTGTGGCTGAAGTGGCAGAGCAGCAGCCTTGACTGCAAAAGCAAAGCAAGCAAAGCCAAGCAAGAAGCCCTGAGTTCAAGCCCCAATCCTGGCACCAGAACAAGCAAACAAGTTGGTTCATGAATGGCTCTATGGGCTATGCCAAGCTTTAATTTTTCCGTGGAATGGAAATCACTGGTACACTGGTGTACTTGAAATAAAAATGAAGAAACAGGTTGACATAGTGTTTGAAAGCTTGGATTTCCATGCTGTTATAACATTTCTGTGCTTTTTCATGTTACACTAAAAAACAAAGTTACTGATTCATACCACAGTGTGGATGAACTTAAAAACATTGTGTTACATGAAATGCATCAAAGGCCATGTACTGTCCAAATACATGTATAAGTGCTTGTTTATATCCTTTTGGACACACCAAGGGGTGAACCTGCTGGGCTGTCGTGTCATTCCTGGGGCTTGAACTTGGGGCTTAAACTTTGTCTCTAGCACTATACCACTTTGAGCTACAGCTCCTTTTTGGCTTTTTGGTAGTTAAAGAATCTCACAGACTTTTCTGCCAGGGCTGGTTGTGCACCATGATCCTCAGGTTTCAGCTTCCTGAGTAACTGAGATTACAGATGTGAGCCACTGGCACTGGCTGGCAATTCCATTTTAAGGAAATGCCAAACTCTTTTGTGAAGCAGCAGAGCCCTCGGGAGTGGAATTTATCCTCATCTTCATGGCATTCTCTCCCCAGGGCTGCCACACCAGGCTAATACAAAGGGTGGGAGGGGTAAAACCACACTTATTTATTCGCTCAAGATTCTGGAGTCATGACCCTGAAATTCAGGTGTTGGCAGGGCTGCCTCAAGACTTTAGGGAACAACCCTTCCCCTCTTCTTCTAGTTTCTAGCTGTTCCCAGCAGTCCCTGCCCTTTGCTGGCATCACCTCTATCTCTGGTCCAAATGGCCCTTTCCTAATCATGATGTCAGTTATCTGAGGCGGGGCTCGGCCTGATCTGGTTATGACCTCATCTGAACTAATTGTAAAGACTATGCTCAAATAAGGTCCCATCCCTGTGTGCACGTGTCTGCACCACACCAGTCAATCTTTAGTTCATTTAACGTTTTTCTGTTTTTGTAAAATTACAGACATCATAGTGAAGGTGAAGTGAAATCTTACCGACTTGCATTTTCCTCATGTTACACTGAAAAAGGACAATAAGCAGGGTGCTGGTGGCTCACGCCTGTCATCCTAGCTGCTCAGGAGGCTGAGATCTGAGCATTGTGGTTCACAAACAGTTGTTAACTACTATCCCTCCACCCCTTCTGATCGATTTTTATCCTGTCTGCTTAGCCTTTCACTGCATTCTCATTTCTGAAACCCTCTGTCATCATCCAACCATGTCCATATGCCTTCTTTTCTTCTTGTGCTTGCTCTCTCTCCCTCGCTCTCTCTCCCTCTCTTTCTCCTTGCTGGTACTGGGGTTTGAACTCAGGGCCTCATGGTTTTTCAGCTTATTTGTTAGGTGGTGCTCTACCTCCATGCCTAATAAATAAGCTGAGCCCTGCCCCTAGTTTGGCTTTTAGGTGGTTATTTGTAATGGAATCTAGTGAATTTACTTATTTCAATTCTCAGATCTCAGCCTCCTGAGTAGCCAGGATCACAGGTGTGAACCACTAAGCTAAGCCTTAACAGAGTCTTAACATGCACATGCTCACAGCTTTCTTTTAGGTGACAGAGTCTCTGTTTATGGTCTTCCTAACACTCTGTTTAAACATCAAGATATCACTAAGTGAGATTAAAATAAAAAGCATAAGAAAAGCATCCAGAACTATCTCTTATAGACTACATTGAGTTTATATGGGAAAAAAGGCATTCCAACGAAGGAATGAAATTACTTAAACAGAATTACTCTATGAGCCAAAAGTTGCATATTCAAATGTTCAAGAGATCTACTTGAGGATTTGAAGAAGTGAGTCCCAGTTTCAGTAGTAATTTATAAACAACAAAATAATTTTAGCCATTCAAAAAGAACAGTTGCCATGGTCTGTCTATACTTAACACATACACAGAAATAAAAACAACAACAAATTACCAAATTCTTTCCCTTCCAGGAGGCTGGGTCTAGCACAGGATGGAAAATGGCTGGTTCTGAAGATACCAAGGTTGGGAAGCTTCTTTGCCCGGCTGACACGGGGCCCTGCCTGCTCTGCCCCAGCACCTGTGCATTCACAGTGGTCTTCACTTCTTGCCAGCCGGAAGAGCAGAGTCAGACTGTTTGACTGGCATCTCAACATTCCAAGTTTGCTTTTCCTAGGATCATATCTAGTCTTGTCTAAGGACCTGGGTGAGAAACAGGAAGACATGTTCCTTCTGAGTGGCATCAAAATAAAAATCAGTAATTTTCTGATGGCTATGATTAGCATTTTCATCATCAATACCAATAGTTAGCCCGCATGGAACAAGACTGCAGTCGAGTCGTATAATTCCACTGCTAAAAAAACCTCTATCTCTACTCCTTTGTCTAACACAGAAGTCCTTTTTCTTCTTTTTAATTTTTTTTTTTAATTTTAATTTTTTGGTCCATCGTGGGGCCTGAACTGTGGGCCTGGGCACTGTCCCTCAGCAATTCAGCTCAAGGCTAGTGCTCTACCACTTGAGACACAGCCCCACTTCTGGCTTATGTGGTGCTAAGGAATGGAACCCAGGGCCTCATACATGCAAGGCAAGCACTTTACCACTGACCCACCTTCCCAGCCCTCTTTTCTTTTCTTGATTTTGTTTTGTGCTGGTCCTGGAGTTTGAACTCTGGGCCCGAGTGCTGTTCCTAAGCATTTTCCACTCAAGGCTGGTGTTTTACCACTTGTGCCATACTGCTATTTCCGGCTTTGTGCTAAATAATTGAAGACAGTCTAACAGACTTCCCTGCCCCAGCTGGCTTTGAACTTTAATGTTCAGATCTCAGCCTCCTGAGTAGCTAGGATTACAGGCATCCAGCACTCAGCAGGATTCCTTTGAATACTGGTCCTTTTCCTAAGCTCAAAACTCACAAAGCCAGCTCCCCACCTTTTCACTCTGAGTTAATGACATCATCTTATCCCACTTCTGTCCTCCTCCTTCCCCCACAAGTCCACCAGTCTCCTTTCTCTTCATGGAACATGTAGATGAGTTCACCACCTTAGTATGTCCATTCTAGTTCTTCCCTCTTTCTGGAATGCTCTCCTCTCTCCCCTCCACACCTTTATTGTCTCAGACTTCTTTCTTGATGAAGTCTACCCTGAGCATCCTGCTAATACCACCATCTCCCCCTTTTCCTCCTATAGTACGGATACCTCTGTGCTCTACTTTCCTTTGTTCAATAGTGCCTACAACCTTATAAAATAGCATACAGGTCACTAAGAGAGTAAGGATGATCTTCTGCCGAATGCACTTTCCTGGATTGAGAATGCATGTGCCTATAATACTATCTGACACAGGAAACAAACGTTTGGTTAAGGAATAAATGTTTTCTACACTTGTTATTCCAATTTTCCCCCTTTTTCTCTTTTTGTGTCAGTCCTGGGGCTTGAACTCAAGGCCTGGACACTATCTCTGAGCTTCTGTGCTCAAGGCTAGTGATCTGAGCCACAGCTCCACTTCCAGCTTTCTAGTGTTTGATTGGAAATAAAAGTCTCACAAATTTTCCTGCCTGGGATGGCTTCAAACTGCAATGCTCAGATCTCAGCCCCCTGAGTAGCTAGGATTACAGACAGGTATGAGCCTCTAGCACCAGCTTTTCCTATTCCAAATTTGAGGATGAATGTGAATACAGATGTCACTCAATACTCTTCCAACATGAATATTTGTTTCAATTACCATTAGTGTGACCTAGTTCCAATTTGGTACTGCCTTAGTTGAGGTCCTTTCATTGCATCTTAAAGATGATTTCTCCTTCACAGGGCTGCCAGATTTATCTAAGAAAAAGCAAAAATGTAAACAAATACTCACTGCTGAAAAACATTTATTTTAGAATATATTTATCTTAATATAGGTGGTTTTAGAATCTAACCTCCACCTAATTTATAAGATTAACCTATTTCCTTTTCTTTCCTTAAAACTTCATAATCTTCCCCAGGAGAATGTATCATTTTATTTGTACTTTGTCCATACTCTGATTTGAATATTCTATCCTTTTTTTTCACAGCCTCTCATGCCATATACATTTTCATGAACCAAGGAAAATGTCATTTGTGTGTGTGGGTGTTAGTCCTGGGGCTTGAACTCAGGGTCTGGGTGCTTTCCCTGAGCTTTTTGTGCTCAAGGCTGGCACTCTGCTTTTTGAGCCCCAGCTACACTTCTGGCTTTTGGGGGTAGTTAATTGGAAATGAGTGTCTTATGGATTTTCCTGCTCAGGCTGGCTTCCAACGGTGATCCTCAGATCTCAGCCTCCTGGGTAATTAGGATTACAGGTCTGAACCACCAGCACCAGCTTCTTTTGTTGTTTTCTGTGCTTGTACTGGCAAGCTTGAACTCAGGGTCTTAATCTCTTGCTTGCCTCAAAGCTGGCACTCTACTATGTAAGCCACACCTCCATTTCCCAAACCCTATATTCTTAAGTTCATTATGAACTTAAGTTCATTTAGAATGCTTAACAAGCAGGACCTGTACGGTTGATATATTAATTAGGTTGTAGTATTTATAATAACAAAACCTGTTTATCTGTAGCTAATGTAGCCAAACAGTTCTTATTTTGCATTGGTTCTCCCTTCTGAATCTTTTTACATTTGTTTCCTAAGGACTTTTAACAAGTAAACTAAATGAGAGATGCTAACATTTACTGGCATTTGGCTGTCCTTAGAGAGGAGCTCAACAAGTGGAGCTAACCTCTCCTTGGCATATTTTAAAGATTGTACATTTAAAATGTTGGTTCATCTGATAATGGAAAACCAATTTTTTTTAGCTTTTCAAAGTTACCTCCTCCAGCAAGTTCTGAAGTGAATCAGAATTCATTATTATATGTAATGTAACACTTACTGATGTTGGGAAGACTGTTCAGTCCATGTAGGTTTTAAAACCATCAAAATTTTGGCTGTTTCTGAGTCATGTGTTATCAGGCTACTGTATCCAAATTAAGATGATATTTGGTAAGCACTGTTGAATCAAATTAAATTGTTCGGTTAGAACTTAAGTCTACGTGTGAAAAAAAATATATTTAAAGAGTACCAATGGTTAGACACTTGAAATGGTTTGAAGAAAGGTCAAATCTGGGACAGAGCCAGGGGGACGTCCGAGGGGGTCCTAGAGTTGGGGTTTCTGGAGCTGGGCATACCGAGTTGGGGCATCCTGAGTTAGGGTGTCTGGAGCATCCTGGGTGGGGACATCCGGGGTTGTAGCATCTTAAGGTTGGGGTGTACCGGGGTTGGTGTGTCCGGGGGGCGTCCCGGGGGTGGGGTGTCCGGGACGTCCCGGGCTGCGGCGTCCGGTCACGTCCTGCACGGCCGCGGCCCCACGATCCCGGCTGCTGGCGCACACGCGGCGGCCGCGACTGGAGGCTGGGGCGCATAGACCACGGCCCCGCCGCCTTCGGCCCGCGCCCCCGGGTCTCCCGGCCGGGACCCCCGCCCCCAGCAGGGGAGAGGCCGGGGGCCGAAGAGCATCAGGTCCCCTCGCTACTAACCTTGCCGCTCTCCCCCACTCGGGTGGGCTCGAGCTCGCAGCTCTCCCAGCTCGCGCGGGTCTCTGCACCCGAAACCCACTTCACGCATGCGCAAGTGGGCGCGTCGCCGGCATCTCGGATAGCAAGAAACCCAACTTGGGAAGAAATTTCCACTTACCGGTGGGCTGAGAACGGCAGAGGAGCCACGTTATTGGTAGAGTACACGGGAGGGCGGGGAGATTGCCATTTCTTAGTTCCTATTGGACGATATGGCCGTCAGTCTTTACGCAGCTTCGAGTGGGCGGGGCTGCGTCGCTGGCGGCGGCGAAGCGGCCTTAGCAACGCCGGCGAGCGGTGGACGCCACGGTTGCGGGCACGGTGGGCGGGAAGCCTTGGCCCGGCGCGCCGGCGGGCGACATGGTGAGTGGGCGCTGGGCGCGGGGCCCAGGTGTTCCCCAGGCGTTCTCCAGACCAGGGAGGGGCATATTTAGTCTATCAAACAGTCTTAAGATTCCTGGAGCGTTATTTCAGGTGAAGAAGAGTGGGTTTCCATTTCCCCCGCTCCCCCACTGCCGTGGTTCAGCTCTTCAACCAGAAGGGAATGGAATTGGAATAAAATGCCCCGAGCCCGTGCTCACGCCCGTCATCCTGGCTATTCAGGAGGCTGAGAGCTGAGGATCGCAGTTAAGAGCCAGCCCAGGCAGGAAAATCTGCGAGACTCTTATTTCTAACTAGCAAAAATCCAGAAGAGGAGCTGTGGCTCAAGTGGTGGAGCGCCCAGCCCCCGAGTTCAGACCCCATCGCCCAGGCTCTGAGTTCAAGCCCGGGCACAGGATAAGCAAACGCCCCTTCCCCGATGGGGAGGCGAGGATTCAGGCCATGTCCCCGATGAAGCTGGAGACCAGACACCCAGGAGCAGTCTGCAGAAGAAGCTGAAGAGCCCTATGGGCTTGCTGGCCAAAAATAGATAACCACAAAAGGGCTTCCATCCTCTATGTATGCGGTGGATTTTGAGTATTGGTTCAATCCATACTCTTACCCTGGAGTTCCGCCTAAAAGTGAAATAGCATGCTAGAAGAGGCTTCGGTGTTCCAATCAAGCACCCCCCTCAACTAAATAAATATTGCCAAACACACAGGCATATATGAAAGCAAATGTTCCTTAAAGGAGTGCTTTGTAAATGTATTCTGAGTAAGGCTAATTCCATCCTGACTTAACACCATCCATATACTAAGACATCACCCTTTGCTTTTCTCCCTATCACAAGGCAGTACTTTTTGAACTCAGAGTCTGGTACTTGCTGTATGTTACTCCTTTAGCCACACCTAGTTCCTGTTTTGCTTTAGTTATTTCTCCAAGAGTGATTCACTTGCTAAGTGACCTTGAACCTGGATCCTGCTACCTCTGCCTTTGCTGAGGCTGGGTTTACAGGTATGAGCCATCATACCATCATACCCAACTTGTTCTCTGAGATGGAGTCGTTTTTTTTTTTTTTTGGCCTGTTTTAGCTTTTCCTTGAATTGCTGCCCTCCTTCACTCTGCTTCCCAGACACTGTGCCTAAAAGGCACACATTTCCAGGAATAAGTGGGGAAAAAAGAACCATGCTTTCCATCATGGTATTAATAAAAGAACAACTATTAACAAAAGGAATAGGGAGAAACTGTTGAGGTCATTCTATAATAAGAAATAGGATACTTCAGTGTTTATTAGACTTCATGAGTCCACTATTTTCATTGTATGGTTCTCTTTCCCCCACCTGTGTCCATTACAGGCATGCTGTACAAGTTCAGGCCAATGGAAGAAAAAAGCTGCAAAAGTTGAATTGAATGAAACTCAAAAGCAAGAAATTAAAGAGGCTTTTGATTTATTTGATGTTGATGGCTCTGGAACCATAGATGTGAAAGAATTAAAGGTTCTGAAATCATTTCTAATTCTAAGGCATCTAAAAAGCTATGTTATATTCTGTGGGATTGTTTTGGGGAATCAAATTCATGGCCTTTGGCCTGAGTTCTACCACTGAACTATACCCTCCACCTGAGTTTGTGGGATTTTTAAAGTCTCTAATAGTCTTCCTAAAGATTATATAAAGTCTCTTCAATACATGCATTTGCCATGCATTAAGAAAACAACGTCTCGTTAAACATTTGAATGTATATATATGTAGGCAAAAGCTCTGGGTATAACATGATATACTCCATGGCATGGCAGGACTGGAACCTTGGCCTGCTAACCTTATTTTCTGGGTTTGTAGCTCAATCTTTGTTAAAAAGTAAAGTAAGCCAGGTATTGGTGTCTCACACCTGTAATTCTAATTACTCAGGAGGCTGAGATCTGAGGATTGCAGTTTAAAGCCAGACTGGAAAGTCCCCTGACACTCTTATCTCCAATAAACTATAGAAAAAACCCAGAAGTGACAGCTATGGCTCAAGTGGTAGAACTCTGGCCTTAAGCAAAAGAAGCTCAGGATCAGCACCCATGTTTTGAGTTCAAGCCCTAGGACCAGAATAAAAATATAAAAGCAAATGAGTAAGTAAAAGGCTCAGGATGAGATCATGCCATATACATTTCCTTCTGATTTCAGATTGCAATGCGGGCCTTGGGATTTGAGCCAAAGAAAGAAGAAATTAAACATATGATAGCTGAAATTGACACCGAAGGAACTGGCACCATTAGTTTTGAAGATTTTCTTGCCGTTATGAGTGTAAAAATGGTATGGTGATTTTATTTCTCAAAGAAATAACAATCAGTAGCCTCTCCTCTTGGGGACTGGAGCAATGGGAGGTTTCATGGAATAAATGGAAGTAGGTATTTAGGGATGGGTGGGTTTAGATAGGAATAGAGATTAAGATGAAGGAGGGTGTTAGTGTCACAACAGTAATAAAAAGACTGGAATAGATAAGTAATGAGGCCATATGGAAGGATAGAGAGAACAAGGTCAGAATCTGGAAGCTTTACATTTGACAAGCATACTGAAACCCAGTTTTTGCCAGGCACTCTTCTAAAGAGTCATAGAGCCTACATGTTTGGTAACAGACCTGACATAAGGGCACGCATTCTTTACAATCCTATGCTCCTTTTTATAAATGCTACATTTAAGTACCATGAGGGCAGATGGACTAACTGTTGAAGTTAGAGCACTAAGCTGGGCACAGTGATGCATGCCTGTACTCCCAGCACTTAAGGAGGCTTAGGCTGGAGGATCTGGAGTTTGAGGCCACTCTAGACTACAGCAAAACTGTCTCAAAGAACCGAAAGGAAAGAAGTACACAATGAAGTCAGAACTCACTTCCTAGCACATCACAGCCGTAGAATTCAAGAATTTAATATGCCCAGTTTGATAGACTAACGACAAGTGACCATTTCCCTTTTGGTGTTAAGACTGCAGTTTTTTTCAGAGTGAAAAAGATGAAAAAGAAGAAATATTGAAGGCTTTCAAATTATTTGATGATGATGATACTGGAAGCATATCTCTAAATAATATCAAGAGGGTTGCCAAGGAGCTAGGGGAAAATTTAACGGATGACGAACTTCAGGTCAGTGTTCTTTATTTTTGTAATTATAATTTATGTAATTTTGGCGATTGTAATTATAATTTATGCATCATTTTATATGATAATTTATATGTTAGATGCCCATTTTTGAGATATCATATATTAAAATAAGATTTGAAGCCAGATGCCAGTGGCTCACACCCATAATCCTAACTACTCAGGAGGTGAGATGTGAGAATCCCAGTTTGAAGCCAGCCCTGGCAAGAAAGTTCACTTATCTCTAACTCTTATCTCTAACCACAAAAAAGCCAGAGTAGAGCTGTGGCTTAAGTGCTAGAGTGCCAGCCTTGAGCAAAATAGTCAAGAGACTGCACCTAGGTCCTGAGTTCAAGCTCCAGTACCACCACAAACCAGTTTGAGTTTAAAAATGTGATTTTGAGTGAGTGTATATTTCCATATTTATTTGTATCATTATTCATTTTAAAAATAGATTTTGTGGGGCTGTGAAGGTGGCTCAGTGGTAGAGCGCTTGCCTTGCATGCCTGAGGCCCTGGGTTCCATTCCTGAGCACCACATAAGCAAAAAGAAAAAGCCTGAAGTGGCGCTGTGGCTCAAGGGGTAGAGTGCTAGCCTTGAGCTAAAGAGCTGAGGGACAGTGCCCAGGCCCACAGTTCAGGCCCCACGACCAGACCCCCCCCCCCCCAAAAAAAAATAGATTTTGTAAGTCATGTTAGCACTTTTTTTTTTTTTTTTTACAGGAAATGCTTGATGAAGCCGATCGTGATGGGGATGGAGAAATAAATGAGGAAGAATTTTTGAAAATGATGAAGAAAACGAGTCTTTACTAATACTGATTTGGTGCCTTCTGGAAAATTTTTTGACAAATTATATTTGCTATCCAGTTCAATAATGTAATATACAAATGTGTTTATTTTGAGTTTTTAGTTTTCACACACACACACATTGGTATGGAATCCATGGGAGAAGCTATGTTTCTACCAATAGGTCATGTCAGAAAACGAAGAAAGAACTTTCTTTGACATGCATGCAAGAATAGTATTAATTCCAACTGGTAGTTTTTAAGTGCACAGATTCCCAAGAGTTAAGATTTTCTACATGATGTTGACTCACATCCAAAGGGGTTTGCCAAACAAACTATTACTTGCTCCATTAATTTACTTTTGTGTCACCCTAAGGAAAATGAGTATTATTTACTTTTTAAACAGTGCTTTAATATGTAAAGTATTAAATAAAACTGACTGGTGGCTACAATCTTTGCTGTTTCTCCTCCAATGGTTACTGATGCGGTTTGTTTGTGTTCTAACATTCAGGCATGGCTAAGGTAACAGTGGAGCCTTTAAGAGGTGGTTAGGCCAGAGGCCTGCTCCTTCCTTACCAGGGTTAATGCCTTTTAAAAGAGCCTCTAGTGCCCAGCGCCAGTGGCTCACACCTGTAATCCTAACTACCCAAAAGGCTGAGATCTGAGGATCCTAGTTCAAAGCCAGCCCAGGCAGGAAAGTCTGTGAGACTCTTATCTCCAATGAACCCCCCCCCCCCAAAAAAAAAAAACCAGAAGTGGAACTGTCAGGAAAATGGGATATGCATGTGTGTGTGTGTGTGTGTGTGTGTGTGTGTGTGTGTGTAAAATGGAATTTTACTAATGTTACTAATAAAGAAAAATTGTATTATGACATTTGCATAGAAATGGATGAACCTGGAAAATTTATGTTAATTGAAGTAAGTCAGGCTCAGAGAGACAAAGGTTTTCTTTCTTATGTGGAAGTTATGTCTATATATGTAAACATATGCAAGGTCATATGCATAAATACACAAACTCTCTCTCTATCTATATATATACCATTATGGTATGGAAGGATCCTATGTGAACATGGTATAACTCCTTTGAACAACTCACAGTTTAACAAAATGTATACCAGGAAGCTGGAACATGTGTTTTCAGGGGGACCTCAAGGAGAAAGGGGGCAGACAAATGGAGAGAGGAAGTGTGGATGAATATGATCATTACATTCAGTGTGTACATCTGAAAATGGAACCAGAGAATTGAAATAATGGAGAAGTGGAGAATGATGGAAGAAGTAACATTGATCAGGATGAATTATACTCATTAACTTTATGTTGAAACATCTTCGAACAACTTTTTTTGGGGGGGGGGGTTCTGGTCGTGGGGGCCTGAACTCTAGGCCTGGGCGCTGTCCCTCAGCTCTTCAGCTCAAGGCTAGCACTCTACCCCTTGAGCCACAGCGCCACTTCCGGCTTTTTTTTTCTGCTTATGTGGTGCTGAGGAATCGAACCCAGGGCCTCATGCATGTAAGGCAAGCGCTCTACCACTGAGCCACCTTCCTGGCCCCTCGTACAACTTTTTTTAAAGTATATATTTAAAGCCAGTCACTGGTGACTCATACTTGTAATCCTGGCTACTCAGGAGGCTGAGATCTGAGGACTACCAGCTCCTGAAGCCACTCCAGCAGGAAAGTCTGTGAGATTTTTCGCTAAGTAACCAGCAAAAAAATCCATAAGTAGAGCTGTGATTCAAGTGGTAGAGCACTAGCCTTGAGGGAAAAAAGCTCAGGGACAGCACCCAGGCCTCGAGTGAAAGCCCTAGGACCAACACGAAAGAACGAAGGGCAGGATGGATGGAAGAAGGAAGGAAGGAAGGAAGGAAGGAAGGGAAGAAGGAAGGAAGGAAGGAGATGCATTGTACTCACACACTGGCATGTTGAAACATCTTTGTACAACTAGTTTTTTTTTTAAAATAAAGGGATATATGTAAGTGTGATGTGGGCAAGGAAAGGTAGTATGGATAGATACTTCGAAAATCAGAGGGTAATTCTTCACAGTGATAAAGTTGTCATTTGCTATTTCATAGATGTTATTTTTCACTGAAATCATTTTTCTCTGCTTTCTTGGTGATGGCTTATTTTGATGCATTTTCATTTTAAAATAGGTCATTTGTTCAATGAACTGTAGAGTATAATTCTAACAGTATTGAATTAAAATCTCATCTTCATGGAGAGTTCACAGGCCTCATTTTACCTCTCGCTTAGTAGTTGGGTTGGGCCCAGAAGGCTGGAGCAGGGATACTAGCCCACTAGGGGGCGTTGTGGGCTCGTCTCAAGTTGGGTAAATGAAGATATAAAGTTTGATTTATGCTTATTTTGATTGCTTGACATTTCACTAGTGAAGGTTTTAAGGAAAGATCAAAGCAAACACTATCTTATTAGAACAATTGAGGATAAACGTGAAGAAATGGTATTATTCTTCAACCCAGTTCCTTGCTATCTAATTGTTTCTGTTCATGAAAAGCCCCTCATTACTCTTCTGTCCCATCTTCCCCAGCTAGCATTCTGCTTTCTCACTTCTTCAGGACTTCAGAATCTGCTAATGTTGAAGTGTGTGTGTGTGTGTGTGTGTGTGTGTGTGTGCGCGCGCATGTGCACATGCACATGCATATCCTGGGGCTTGAACTCAGGGCCTGAGCTCTGTGCCTGAGCTTTTTTGCTCAAGGCTAGCATTCTACCACTTAAACCACAGCTCCACTTCCATATTTTTGGTGCCTGAGATTGGCTTTGAACTATGATCTCTCATATCTCAGCCTCCTGAGTAGCTAAGATTATAGGCGTGAGCCAAGAGTAGCTTATAAGGCATGCCCAGCCTTGTAAGTACCCCCTGAGGTACTTGTATATAAATCAAGAAAAAGGTATTAGAGAGAGGTGATTTCTCAGGTTTCAGTCATGTAGACAGTCTGTGAATCAAGGGGTTTTTTTTTTGGAGCAAATTAAACAATCTATTTTCATTTTTGTAATGTGTCACCATTTTCCTGGAAACTCTTACTTACCAGGTAAAACTTTTCCTAGCTAGGTTCTGGGACAGCCCAGTCATGCTCTTGCTGCATGGCACAAGGAAGCCACTGGGCCCAGTGGTGTTCTTGTTTCCATGGTAACTGTCTGGGGGACCAAGCAAGTACAGGTAAACTCAGTCACTGTAGGATCCTGCAGAGAAAGAACTGAACGGTGAAGGAAAACCCCTTTTAGTCAGAAAATTTTCTTTGGGAGGTCAAAACCTCTGTAAATGTAATGTAAAATACCAAACAATCCCTTTACGTATTATAAAGAAATACTGTATTTTTCTGAACTAGGGAACTTTACATCTGTGTGTCATAATGAAGCCATTTTTCCTTTGCTACCCCTGCCTCCCTCCTCTTTCCAAGTCAGTCATCAATCTGTGCCTTTTGTTTTTTTCTCATCGTAATGTGATGGCTCTCTTACCCAGCGGCAACTGGAACAATATCTACTAATTAAAATGAGTAGTTTACTTGTGAGCAATTCCACATGTATACGTGGCCCTCAGGCCCTGTCCAGGTAGCTCGGTGCTAGGCAGGCTCCCCGCATTACCCAAGGTGAAGGAAGTGTCTATGGAGGAGTCAACATGGCGGAGTTGAGCAGCTTTCTAGCTCCTTCTACCTTGCAGCTTTATTCTTTAATCTCCAAGTCTGGATTTTCTTAGCATTTGTTTTTTTTCATAGTCAAATACAATTGTAAAAACACTAGCGACGTCGATGAGATTTTTTAAAAATCACCTTTGTCATGAAAAGAAGTCACTAGAATTTCCGCCTTTTGGTGGAGAGGGGTGCTGTATCACACCACTAGGCAATATGTATATGCATAACTTAATATTCATAAGACTTGGGCTTAAGGTTGTTGCAATCTTCAAAGGAAAACAGATGAACATTTGGACATTCATAGGTATCAAATTGTTTTTCTGATGATGGCCATACCTTCATTTCCATTTCCTAGGAGCTATATCAAAAAGGATTTCAGACCTTTGAAAACATACACACAGAAAATATGTATCACCTTTTTGTGTGTGTACCAGCGAACTCAGGGTCTTCTGCTCTTACTTTGCTTCCTTGTTCATGGCTAGTACTCTACCATTTGAGCCATTCTTGCAGCCCAGTTATCTGCTGGCTAATTGGACGTGTATTCTGCCAGACTTGTTTGGCCAGGGCTGGCTTTGAATTGAGATCCTCCAAATCTCAGCTTTCTGAGTAGCTAGAAGATTTTAAGAATGAGCCATGAGTGACTAGTACTTTTTTTTCTTCCTTCCTTCCTTCCTTCCTTCCTGCCTTCCTTCCTTCCTTCCTGCCTGCCTGCCTGCCTGCCTTCCTTCTTCCTGCAAGTACTAGGGCTTGAAATCAGGCCTCAGTGCTGACCCTTAGCTTTTCTCACTCAAAGCTGGTGATCTACTACTTGACCCACATCTCCTCTTCCAGCTTTTTGCTGCTTCATTGGAGATAAGAGTCTCATAGACTTTTCTGCCTGGGCTGGCTTCAAATCTTAATCTCAGATCTCAACCTCCTGAGAAGCTAGGATTATAGGTGTGAGCCACTGGTATCTCTTTCCTTTTCTATCAACTTAGTGGAGGAGGAAGTTAAACGCTTCTCTGGCTCAGTCCATCAGTTGGGGTCAGCAAAGGTGAAGCAAGCATGGAAACGGAAAGAAGAACTTTATTACTTTAAGGTTTGGGGAAGGTGGAAGGCTCCAGGTTGTAGCAGCTCTGATTTTGAAATGTCAGGGCAGTTACAGGTTTGGGATTCAGTTTGAGGTCCTCACTGTGGATTAAGGCTAACTGGAAACATGATCTGTCCGTTTAGCTTTGAGTTCAGGCTTAACTTGGTTGCATTTGGTTCTGCTACTTACTACTTGAATTTCACTTTTTTAAAAATGTGTGCCAGTCCTGGAACTGGCCTGGATGCTGTCCCTGAGCTTCTTTTGCTCACAGGCTAGTGTTCTACCACTTGAGCCACAGCTCTATCTCTGGCTTTTGGTAGTTTATTGGAGATAAAAGTTCTACAAACTTTCTTCCCTGGCTTGGCTTTAAATCGTGATCCTCAGAACTCAGCCTCCTGAGTAGGAATGTCACTTTCTTCCTATGTAAATGACTATGAGTGGTGAGTGCTCCTTGGGTTATTTCAGTGATAAGATGAATAAATTGGTAACTACATTAGAGGTGTTCATCAGTTAGTCCTCTTCTCTCACTCTCCAGTCTCCACATCCACCTTCTGTTCCCAGCTTATAACTACCTCTCGATAAGGGCACATCTATCTATATAGATAAAATGTGTTTAGATTGTAAAACTGGGCCTTTGATTTGTTGTCCCTTGGTTGCATATCTTATGTTATTGCTGCAAGAAATGTATTTGGATGTGAATCTTCCACATTCAGTAATATAGTCTTAGATTTTTTTTTTTTG